CCATAGGTGAGCATGATGAAATTATCTCCTCCAAAAAAACAACGGCCCAAAAGTACTCTAAGTCTTAAGTGGGTCCATTTTGTCAGAGTCAGTGCTTTCGAGATGTTCTTTCGAGATGCTCTCAAGAGGAATGAAAAAAAACAACCAAAAACTCACTGATTACAGGACTTTCCACAAGCCACATGAACATGGGTGAATGCGAAAAGCAGTAGTGAAAAGGCTGGCCATTTGTGACGGCAAGATCTTCCTCTTCTTCAAAATGCAGACCAAATCTGAACTTCAAACAATCAGCTTTGATTTTTGAGGTTTTTTTTCATTTTGACAAGTATAACAGGAATTCTAAGGGTGCTGACAGGGTGTCTAGTGTCTTAACATGTCAACAATTTACAGGGTTTGGTATGCTGCAAGGCGCGCACACGTGTGTGCCCCGCCCCTAAAGTTGTTGATGCCCATTTTGGTGGCAACTGCTAGGAGATGTAACTGAAGGACTCTCCATCAACGGCGACCCAACAGTCTATGAGGAGTCGGTATTTTAGCCTCCCACGATTACCAAAATCCGACCTGGCTTATGAGCAATTTTACAAGCTCCAGAGCACAGCCAATCGTGCTCTAGAAGCGAGCGCTCTGTGAGAAAGCCGCTAACGAAGAATCGTGCTATTATTTAAAAGGTCCAGCGAACGCTCTGTGAGAAAGCCGCATAACGAATGAGGTTTCACCAACTCACCTACTCTGGCGGCAGCCACCATTTCGCTCGAGTGTGCAATGACGGCATTCCACAAGCGTGCTCGAGGCCTTCCACAATCTAAAAGATTGGGTGAAATGATGGCGTTTTGGCGATGACTGGTCCTTTTTAGGATGTATTTATAGGGCACGTCGTACGTTACGGATACTCAGAGGGGTTGTATTAGGTCGCTCAGAATGGAAGAAGCGGATTGACATTTCTCAACATTTCTTATTTCACGGGCTATAACTCCCTCCCCTGCTCGAGGGTAGTTTTTATCGGGATTAAGTGGAGGAGGTCCTAGGGAAAACTCCAGAAATGTGATGGAAGAGTCCAGAACGATAATATGTAAGATGGAGGAGAAGGGAGGGGGGGAGGGCAGGTCGCACTAGAGAAGGAAACCTTGTTGGGGGGGGGGTCATACTCTGCTAGATTTTTCCCCAACCGCAGGACGTGCACTAGAAAAACTACCTTTCCAACGAGCAATGCTACGATTCAGACAAACCAATCCCTTTCATAGAGAAGATACGAATGTATGCACACTGTTTTTGAAATCTCGAATTACTTCTTACGTTTTGTGGTGCAACAATTTGTCAACAATTCCTGACCTGAACGTGAGCCTCATTCTTCTCATCGTATTTTTCAGTTTTGATCAAGTCGTAGATTAGGAAACGACCGCCTGGCTTCAGTATTCTTGATACCTGAATGATAGCTCTCACTTTTCTCTTCAAATTTCAGGTGAACTTTTTTCCGTGCCACACGAAATCCGCAGAGAAAAGATGGGCTAAAAATGGGTAGAGTCTTATAAGTGGACAGGCGCAAATAGGCTTGGCATTTTGCTGACTCCCATCGACCACCGACGGCTTATATGAAGACTTGCAAACTCCTGTGAAAGTATGCAATGGCAAAAGCTCCGCTCAAATGCCCCTTCTAAGCCGAACAGTTCCTTGCAATAATTCTGGCTTCTCTTACGAGGTGTGACTGCAGAACATGATAGTTGGTCGCGGCAACCGTAAAACTGCTCAGTAGAGCGTAAGCGGCTCAAATGGCCGCTTGGACGACTCATGACGCTGCTTGCT